GTGGCACACTGTTTCAAATTACAGGCCATTTTCAGTAACGTCTATATGTTGTAAATTACTGGAGCATGTTTTATAGTCTAACGTCATAAATCACCTTAACTTTCATAATTTTTTCTTTGAGTCACAACACGGGTTTCGAAAGGGATATTCATGCACTACACAACTGACCGAGCTATTTCATGATTTGGTTACGCATGTTGACGGAGGCGGACAGACAGACTGCGTGTTCTTAGATTATAAGAAAGCATTTGACACAGTATCACACTCACTGTTATTACGTAAATTAGAGTTCCTCAGCCAAATCACCGTCATACTTAAGTGGATAAAAGCATATCTATCATCACGTCGTCAATGTCTTACTTTGAATGGTGAAATTTCTCTTTTTTGTTTAGGTTACATCTGGCGTTCCGCAAGGCTCTGTTTTGGGACCGTTGTTATTTTTTTATATTTGTTAATAATATTAATGATGATATAAATTTAAAGTAGGATTTTTTTCAGATGATTGTGTCGTTCACACATGTACAACAGACGATGAGAGTCCCACACGGTTGTTGGCTGACCTGAATCAAATAGAGCAATGGTGCAAAAAGGAGAAGATGGAGCTTAATGTTGAAAAATGTGTTCACGTTGGTTTTACCCGCGCAACTAAGACGAAAACTGAAACTTGTTAAAAGTTGAATGAGGAAGTTGTACCCAAGAACCAAGCAGTTAAATATCTAGGTGTCACACTATCAGCTGACTGCACTTGGAACGCTCACATTGACCATGTTGTAATGAGGGCCGGCTGAGCACTTGGATTCTTGAACCGAAATTTAAAAATGTCCACTTAAACAATTAAGGAGCTCGCCTACTTTAACTATGTACGGCTAGTTTTGGAGTACGCCTGCACTGTCTGGGATTCTTTGCAGCAAAACCATGTTGTCGCACTAAAACGAATTCAAAATCGTGCAGCCAGATACCTCCTGACGCAGTACGACCGTTTTGAAAGCGTCACCAACATGATTAAAGAGTTGGGATATGGTATCCGTTGGCACAACGACGAAAAGATTTGCGCCTGAAGTTTTCATGCAGTATATATTATAATACATCAGGCATTATTAGCTGATCCTATTTATTACCTCCAAATTACATATCCAAAAGAAAATATCACATACAAAAAATAAGGGGAACTTCGCACCAGGATGTAATTGGGCAAAAATTCGTTTGTTGTAAAGTCTATTAAGGACTGGAATGCCTTGTCCTGGGAAATTCCGCAAATTCTTAATTGTTTTGCTCGTGTTTATTTTCCCCCTGCAATAATGCCTGATGGCGCTGCAAGACCACAATAAATAAAGAATAACGATGATCCGCTACGAATTTGTTAGAGCGGTACTCCGAGATATGTGATTTCACCCTGGTCAATGCTATAACTGCAAAGAAACGAGGCTTTGTGGCCAAGGAACAATACCAGAAGCCTTTACATTTTGACGAATTTACTGAGGCTCCTGTGATTGTGCAGTAGCGTGTTGTTAGATCAAGGGATTCCTCAACACTTCGGTTGTCAATACAAAAAACAATGCAACATCGTCTGCATACGCAAGAACTTTTCTTGCAACATTGGCCAGCAAATATCCATGAATATTTTTTTTTGTCAAGATGCTAAGGCATAATTGCTATACGTACAAGGCGAAACGCAACGGAGAGAGTGGGCAGCCTTGCCTGACGAAAGATTTTATTATAATTTTATCAGAGAGTATGTTAATGATGATCAATCGGGTTGAACTGTTCACACAGTCGCTCGGCCACCAATCCCATCGCTCACTGCGGGTATCCAGGCATCTGACACCCAAACATCTGGCGCCGCTTCTGTCTCTCACGTAGCGTTCCAAGTGGCACACGACGACAAATGCACATCAAGCTTTCCTTGAACACGTGTCACCATCCGCATTTGATATTAACTGCAACTTGCCATAATTTAATGGGGGAATGTTTGAGGCCTAGTATTAAACTTCGCGTATAATCTTTCGATATGCAATTTCTGGAAATGTAATTTTGAAAGATGCTTCGTAATTAAATGTCTCGTAATTTTGATTTTTTGACGTAACTCCATTTTTAGAGCGCAAGGAGTGAAAAAGAAAACTGATTGGTTGATTGAAGGAATAACACCATTTTAAACTTTATTTGTTTATTTTAAAATATACATTTTCTGTACAGTTTATTGCTTACTTTTTAAATTTATTATTGTTCCAAAGTTCGTTCGCATAAATCATCGTAGACGTTGGAACGTTTTAGCTCAAGAAAAAAAGTTCGATATCTAAAACTGTAATTAAGTAAAAGCAAAAATAAAGAAAACTAACTAAGCATAAAAGAATAAACCTAATATCGAGATATTAAAGGGGTACGGAAACAAAATTCCAGCGCTCATTTTTTAGCTTTAATGTGTTGCATGTTGCAGCATAACCTCAAAGATACCAGTCTTTCGTTGAAAGGTACAAGAAAACTCAATTTAAAGTTAATTAAACGATCTTTCGATGTGCACCTGGTGGATGCATGCAGAGCGTATTTGGGAGGTAATCTAGCAACGTTGGGGAACTTGCTACGTATTCATGACGTAGCAAGTTCCATCGGAGCAGCGTCGCTCTTCAGAATTCAACATTTTCCTTCATAGCTTCCTCAACTCGCAAATCGCGCATTGTACCAAACCCTCGTTTGTGTACCCGGACACAACCATTCTCTCCCTAGAAGATTAGCCTGTCGCTCAAAATTTGAACAGAAGTTGTCTTCCCCACCCCGTTCACCCCTAAGCTGACAGTGCTGTGGAAGCTACGTGCTCCTTGGGCCATCCACACGATTCCACACGCCACCAACGCCAAAGCTCATAACCACGCCAGCCTTGCGACGTAGCGAATGCGGAAAATCTGTTTTTCTGTTTTTCTTCACGCCGGATTTCCCATGACGCATCGCGCTCTCCGTTCGCTTCTCTTCGAGTGCTTGCTCGAGTGCACCGTTTGGAATGAAAAATATAGCTAGTCGTTCAAAATACAAACGGGCGATTATCATTTCCGGTTATTATCCGTCGCACTTGACTCATTTCCGAGCGAAATTTGAACATTTCAATTTTCGTTTCCGTACCCCTTTAAAGTATAGCTAGATGACGGCTCTTTAATTCGACATAACTTAATAACTCAGAAAACATTGAAAGAAAGTTATAAACCGTCACAAAAGAAGCAAAACGAAATACAAGGTGGGTTTGCACCTTAAAGGGGTTATGAAACAATATTGGGTTGGAATGTGCATGACTTTGCAAAGGCATACTGGTCGTATAGTCTGGCCCAAGCATACTCGCACACCCTGCCACTGATTCAGAAACTTCTTTGTCGCGGTGAAATTGCGAGAATAAAAGGGGAGTGGTTCTTTCAGTCTTGCCTTCGCAAAAGCTGGATGGCGTCATTGGGGGATCGAAACCAAAAAAAAATGTGTTCGTGTGTATGTTTATACAGCTAGAAGTTAGTCTGCCTCAACGGGCAACTTTCCTCTCGGCTGTAAATGCGCAGTTAGTTAGTGCAGTACAACCGCTAGCCTGGGGTCTTTAACGTGCACCACGTAGTAGTGATACACGACCGCACGCGGATGCGATGCTCATCCAGATCGAAACGGGAAGGGGTGGGATTGAACCCAGGATCCGTGGGTTCTGCAGCGCGATCGAAACCATCCACCTGAGACACGAGAACTACGTGAGCACTCGTCTTTGGCTTGTAACAATCAATGCCTCGAAGGACACTCGGGTAGTGGATCGTGTCCAACGATCCACTACCCGAGAGATCATGATCGGCTAAGTCAAGCACTCTCGATTTCGTGAACCGAAGGTGACATGAAAGGACCAATATCTCGTCGCTTTTATGCTCTGCCTTTGAATACGTTCGCTTTTTTTGGTGTAGAGAAACTGTGTAGTGCCGCCATTAGAGCGTCGGGTTTGGATGTGCACAGGGTAGGTAGACTGACTTTCGGAAAACGTATATTGTCTATACATCATACAAAAGACAGTCTGCATACATATTCGACCGCGAATATGTATGATTATGAAAACGCGTTAGAGGGCTCGCTGGCCGAGTGGGCTAGCGCACACCAGCTTGGAGCACGTGGAGCGAAAGCTCGCGCTTCAGAACCCCAGGATCTTCGGTTCGATCCCCACCCCTGCCCGTTTCGATCTGGATGAGCATCGTACCGGCGTGCGGTCGTGTGTCACTATACTGCGTGATGCACGTTAGAGACCCCAGGCTAGTGGTTGTACTGCACTGGCTAAATTTCTCATCTCTGGGAGACTCGTCGCCCGTTGAAGCAGGCCAAGTTCAAGGCTATATAAACATACACAGAACCCAATTATTATTTGAACGCGAATCACCGCGAGATCCGTGCTTGGAATGCCGTATACAATACATTCAAGGAGAAAATTTGGCCCGTGGCATTGGAACCACGGATATTGCAGTGGCTCGATCGTGTTCGCAGACTGTCTTTTGTATCGTGTATGAACAGTGTGACCCCGGATTTACAGCACCGCATGCTCCCAGACACGTCCTTCAGACTGCTATGGTGACGTCTACTTGACAGGTGTGCTCGGGCGATTTAGTTCATGTTCACCTACATGCCACATGTGAGGGCACGGTGAGCTGTCGCGACTGACAGCTCACCGTGCCCTCAGCGGCCCTAGTATACAGTTGGCGGATAATAACTTACCGAAAATGAGCTCACGAGGGAGAAAGATCCCCGGATATAAGAATAACACAGAAAACATAACGGCTCCTAAGAAAATCGAGGAAATGTTCATCGGATATACGAGCACTCAATAGATGTACACTGGAGAAGAGCTCACTGGGGAAGCTCATTGGTCTTTTGAAATATGAGGAATGTTGAGAAAAGCTTTCCTCCAGATGAGCTATTCTGCGGTGATCTTTCCTCTGAGGTTCTCAGTGAACACCGTCTCTGTCTACATCGCCTCGTTTATCCGGACCCTCCTGTCGCAGGGTGGTGGGCTGGCGACTGGGCCTACAGGCGCTGACGGGCATCGTGTTCGCCATGTTCGTGCTGGGCATCTTCTACCGGCCCGCGTCGCTGTACCACCCTCAGCGACGCGCCATCCTGCACCTGAAAAGCATGCAGAAGCGTTCCAAGGCCAAGGACAAGAACGCCCAGGCCGCGGAGAAGCCCCCGTTCCTGGACTACGCCGTCCTGCGCTCGCGCACCGTCCAAATCCTCGTGGCCGGCACGGCCCTCGCCGCCTTCGGAGTCAGCACGCCCATGGTGCTTCTGGTCAGTGCCGGCGCGCCGGTTCTCTCGCACGGAGTTAGCTTCGCAACGATGCCTTTCTTTTAAAACGAACGGAAGAAGGCACCGCAGGCAATAAATCTGGCCTTTAGTATTTCGAAATAAATAATTATGGCTTGTCATAAGAGGTCGTCCAATAGAGATACCCTGGCAGTCGGTAGAGAGGGGGCTGCATTTAAGGCTGTCCCTATTGTCCACTACAAGACCAGATGACAGGGAGCTTGTTCGATTGACGTGCCCTCAATCTAGCGCCCCATCTTTTTTTCTTTTTTTTTTGTTGCTGTCAGTCATTTCGTTTGCTCACTCGAAACTGTGCGACGCCAGAACATCGCGCTAAAATCGCGTCTAATATTTATCTGACGTTAATAACTTAAGTGGCGTTCTCAAGGAGGGGGAAATTGACCAATGATATATTGACATGGCACTTAAGAGGGAGCGCGATTAGCGCCCTATAGGTCACTCGTGTGCCGCTGAACGCATCCTCGTCCGGGCTGGGATTCCCTGACCACTCCAAGACTAACGAAGCACTCTATCGACTGAGCTAACCAGGACTTGGCCGTCAGAAGGGCAAAAGTCAAATGCGTGTGTTCGATTAAGATCGGTAAAGTGTTAACACTAGTCAACAACTTAGCACATGTTTGCTCTTTTGGTGGTCAACTCCTGCTTAGCTCAGTGCATGGCTTCTCTAGTCCTGATGAGGACTCGGGATTGAAGGACGGACAAGCGGAGTTTTCCCATGGTACACACCAGTCACCTAGAGGGCGCGAGGTGTGTTGTATCTCAGATGAAGGTTAATTTATTCCTTCGGATATGTATTCGCTGTTGAGGGCCAATTTGATTAATGTCGTTAAGTTTGTCTAATGTAGTAGTGCTGCTAACCTGATTTTTTTTGTCTTTTAAACTTTAATTACGCACTAATGCATACTGGTGCAATGCTCATTCATTTACAATCATAAACTGGGGAGCAGAGCGGTTTTAACTCATGACACCAGAGGCGTCTGAGCTATTTGGAAGATGGGAGGGGGGGGGGGGGGGCGACAGTGGTAGTGCGAGGAGGGGGCGAGGAGAAGTTTTCCCTCCTCGACCGCCGTGCTATCTACATATTTCTTCTTTTTTTAATTTCTGTGGGAAAAAAAAAACGATAGCCCCCCCCCCCCCCCCCCCCCCCCTCCCCGCCCCTGTTGTGACGCCGCTGCATAGCACCTGAGCCTGCAGCGTGAGGTGGGGGATCGGTTGTTAGCACTCGAATCTACTGGTGCTCCGCAGTTCGGAGCGCGTGCATGCAAGCTTAACTGCTGAACGCAGGTATCCTTGTTCCGAAACACCCCGCCCCCGCCATTTTCTGTGTTTGATATGAACGGCATCGTAGTACGTTCAAGTGCCATCAAAACTGCGTGAGGCACGTTGAAGACCCACAGTTAGCTAAAGTGTAAAGTCAGCGGGATACGAAACCCTCACCAGCGTTCGATGCCACAGTCGTAAGCAGACGTAACGTGTTACTACTAACGAGTTACTTCTACCTAGTTACTTTTTTTCGGTAACGGGTAACGTATTTAGTTACTTTTTTTAGAAAAGGAACGAGTAACGTACTTATTTACTATTAAGGCAAACTAACGAGTAACGGTATTTCGTTACTTTTGAGTAGCAGCGTGTACAACACCGTTTAAACAGCCTTGTTTTTATTCGAAACTAAGTATGCGTCTATTGCGACAAAGGCACATGCCAAAAAAAAAAAAAAAAAAATAGTAAACAGTATGACAGTATGGCAACGTTAATTGCTCAACATGTCAGCCGAACTCTACAGCTGGGAATGTCCTTCACCCAGAGAACACCACAAGGGTCGTTGATTGAACGCGACAACTTTTCTTGGCAATGCAGTGGAAGGTAGAGGCCCGCGTCCCCTCTCCCATTTTGAGTGTACGCAGGCTCTCCTCCCCCCCCCCCCCCCGGAAATGGGGGAGGAGGAGAGCCTGCGTACACTCAAAATGGGCGAGGGGACGCGGGCCTCTACCTTGCACTGCATTGCCAAGAAAAGTTGTCGCGGAGTATAGAATCGTGTACAGACCGAACGTAAACCCGGAGGTTGCCAACACGAAAAGCACAGAGCCCATTGTCAACTTGAAACTTTAAAAAGCAAAAAGAACAAAAGAGAAAGAAATCCCAGATTCACCAGCTCATCCTGAAGCACAAAACTGCCGTTCCTCCGAGCGCGTCAGTAGAACGACTCTTCAGCGTCGCCAGAGATGTAGGTCTCAAGGAAGCGGAGAAACATAACTTATGAAAACTTTGAGAGGAAGCTAACAATAAACCACGAAACAAAAGCAGTTGTGTATTCGGTAGTCAATGTAACGATAACACTTACTCTAAGACTGTGATGGCGCAGGCGAGCTGGTGTAGATTTACCATTTTCTCAATCGACCTGAGACTGGGTGGAGAACTGGAAGTACTTTGCAAAAGGGGAAGGGAAAGGAACAGAAAGACAGAAGGCATCGTTACATTTGAGTTAGAGTAACGCGTTCCTTTCGAGAATCGGTAACGAGTAACGTATTTAATTACTTTTGTGGGGTAACGTATCCATGGCTGGTCGTGATAACTAAAGTTTCAAGTAAGACAATTTTTTTTAGCAACCGAGGTTGTTTTTTTTTTTTTGTTTTGTTTTTTTTTTTGCCATATTGAGAGAGAGGGAAAAAAAGAAAATAAATTGTTCTGAATAGCCGTGTTAATATCACATCTAACATTAAGTCGGATGTTCCAACTTCCATTTTTAAATAAAAACTACTCATTACCAGAAAAATAATCGAGATGATATTGTCATGCTGTTGAGCGTTTTCTGTTGTCTACTAAACATTCAGGGTGACGTTTACGCACTTGTCACTCGAGTTTGTGTTGTGCAAATAGGCACGTACATCGCTTTTATTTACCCAATATGTGAAGCCGCTCAATCGGTTTATTGATTTGCTCGAGTAATAGCCGCACTTCTTATGAACAATGTCTTTACATTTGCTTTTAGGCAGAACACACATACAACCAATCATCGCGTTCTGCATTAAAAAAAGAAAAAGAAAAGGAACTTAACAAATCAGGAGGTTGTGAACACGATTCTCCATAAAAATGCGATCTGAGCAGATAGCATTTTCGCGTGAAAACGTTATGTGTGCCCCGTAAATCGCTGCGATTTTTCTGCCGATCGTGGCGATTCGCTATCTCGTGCTCCGCAGGAAAGCAGACCCACCGGCTGTGTTCATAAAGGGGTATTCACACGAGGGAGAAATCCCCGGGATTTCTCCCCGGCACGCGCACCCCACGACGAAAACGTCAGGCTTTGCGATGTGCAAAAGCCTCGCGTTTTCATCTCGTGATGCGCACGTGCCGGGGAGAAATCCCCGGGATTTCTCCCTCGTGTGAATACCCCTTAACCAGTGCGGCTATTACTCGAGCAAATACGGTAACTGTGCCGACCACTTAAACCTAACAAGAATGATCAAGCGATCGGGAACGCGTTGTCGCTTTGAAATGGCCATAGCTATAGCTGCTCCCATTTATCATCGATAGAGAACAAAGATACTGATTGGAACTGGAATGCATACGCATTCAATATGCATCCCATCCAATCGAGATTGTTCTTCTTGACAGGCGATAAATGGTAGCCGTAGTCACTGGCTACTCCAGAGACGCAGGGACTTCCACTTCTTGCTTCCTGATCAGTTCTTCGACGCAGTTATCGGCCGACGCCGCAACGCTATTGGCTGAGGGGCGATTAGAAAATGCTCTGGAGTGGTCACCCAGCGTTTTTTAAGCATGCTTCAGTGACTATAATTATGATAATCTGCTGCTAACCACGCGCTCAAATATGGCGTCCAGTGAACACCACCTTTATATTTGGCCTCTCGTACTTAGAAATCTCGTTTCAGATTTCTGACTGCCAGTCTTCGGGCGTACGTGCTGATGGAGCGCCGACATCTGAATTTTAAATGAAATTCGCATGTTAAGATGTTCCCGAAAACGGTGATAATAAAGCAAACTGATACTACGATGGACCAATAGACTCATGTCACAGAGCGTTTTTTTTCTTTTTTGTCGTTTTTATATTTTAACAAGCGTCTGTTGGCTCGCAGATGCAACTGGGCGAGCAAGAAGGGCTAGAACGGCACTCCCTTCTGCTGCTGCAAGCGTACCTGGGGCTAGCCTGCGTGGTGGGCAGTGCGGGCTTCGGCCTGGTTGTCATCAAGAACAGCATGCAGTGCCTGATCGCGCGCCAGTACCTGTGTCAAGCGGCCGCCCTAATGATCAGCGCCGCGCTGCTCGCCTTCACCGCCCTGCACCAGTACCACGGCTATCTGCTCTTCGTCTGGATCTACGGCGTCTTCTACGGCGGATACCAGTATTCGCTCAAGATGTACACGCTCGAGAAGGTTCGCGCCCGCAACTTCGCCAAGGCATGGGGCTTCGTCCAGTGCTCCCAGTCCCTGCCCATTCTCGTCGGGGTCCCGCTGGCAGGGTTCCTCAACGAACAATTCGGTGCCCGGACGGGCTTCTACCTGTCCTCTGCGTTCGCCTTCTTGGGGGGCATATCGCTCTTTCTTATCGACGTGCACAAGAAGCAGATTCGGCGCAAGCAGCGGCCAGACTGCCGCCGCTGCTCGGACGCCCTGCCGAACACGGGCTCTCGGAGGTCCTCCCTCCAGGACTCCCTGTGCAGTCAAGCGCGACTTCAGCAGCGGAGCTTCACCTTCAGCAACTACGCGGACCTGCGCCGCCAGGAACTCACCTGCATCTCGGAGGAAGCCATCATGGACAACTTCCTGGAAGACCTGATCGACGACTGCATCACCTCGTGCAACAAGGAGGAGAAGTACCTGATGCTCAGCGAATACGAGAACAACCTGAACAAGACACAGGAGACGCTGGACCGGCGAATGCGTGGTGTGCGCAGGGCGTCCATCTTGCTTCCGTACAAGTACGACCAGTGCCCCAGCTGCATGCGGCTCATGCCCGTGCAGGCCAACGGCGAGCCAGCACCAAGGACGTCGTCGCCCAGGAGGATGCAACGGCCCTCCGTGGAAGTGATCCAAGAGGTGACCACGACGCTTTGACGGCCCACGCACGCGCGTTTGGGTTGCGGATTGCTGAAGAGTCAGCTGGGATGCATGCCGTCTTTCAAAACAGTGTTCAGGCTCGTCGCCGTAAGGACAGCGTTGTCGAACTGCCAAAATGCTTAGCCCTCTACCTGGCTCAAAAAGGTGTGACTGACCTTGAATTATGGCGACATCTCTGCGAGGTGAGATACAGTGGTGAGATACAGGGACATGGAACGGTGCGCGCCTTCCGCACTGTGGATTGAGATGAGTGAACAGATTTGGGTTTGGTCGTCATCACGGCCGCGTCGCCCACTACTGCCATTAGCAGTCCCGTGCATGTATCTGGGGGACTGGCTACCAAGAATTGGGAGTGTAAGTTTCGGAAAGCAGGCTTGAAGGGCATTACTCTCGGCACCATACAAAACTGTTTCATAGTTTGTATACGTTTACATCTTCGTGACGCGTACAACTGCATAGGCAATATGTTTTTTCATGTGTCAGGTATTTATTTAACTGATGATTAGCAAGCCGTTAATCATGTATATGATGCTTTCGGTGGAATCTTGAGTTAATAAAGTCTTTCTATGCGAATCTCTAGTCAAATTTTTTGTTCCATATTTATTGTAAGTGTACTTATTTATTTATTTATTTATTGAAAGTACCCTCAGGGCCCGAAGGCATCACAGAGGGGGAGAGCACATACATGAAACAAAGATAGTAATATAGTAACAAGTCAACAATATTAAATATACAACAAACAAAGAAAAATAATAATAATAGGTCATGGGTCACTGCTAAAATAGCTAGCGATGGAATTTCTAAACAGGTTAGTATCAGTTATAGTAGCAATCAAACCGGGGAGGTGGTTTCATTCCTCGGCTGTGCGGGGTAAAAAAGAAGATTGAAATGTTGTGGTAAACGAACTTGGAACTCCAACTTTATGCTGATGGTCAAGACGGGATGAAATGTAAAAGGGGGGAGTAATCATCCGATTGCGTAGGAGAGGGTTATTTTTACGTCGCAAGGAGAGAAGTGGTAAACATAAACTATTTTTCATTGATGTGACACTAGCAGCACGATGGTAGTTGGAAATAATGAAACGGGCTGACCTATTCTGAATGGATTCCAATGCAGTGATTAGAGTATCGTGAAGTGTACTTGAAATTGAAAATAAAAAGATTTCCTTCGGGGTAACGAAAGGGGTACTACATAGAAATTTCGGTGCTTATTTTTTGGTCTATATAGTATACAACGAAATTACGGCGCTTATTTATTGGTCTATGCGTGTCCGAAGGAGCAGTATCACTTTAGACACACCAATACATTGTTAAAAAAGACACGAGAAAGAATTTTCTAACAAATTAAACGAATGGCAGAGAGCACCTCGTGGATGTTGTTAGAGCCTCGCTTGTAATGCCCGTCTAGGAACCTTGACAGGTAGTGACGGTAACTGTCTCGCCTAGAACTATACATGCTTTGAACCTGACGTCATCCCGACAGATCTACGGCCAGCACAAGGGAAGAGGGGAGGGAGGAACTCCCCACTCAACGGGACTCCCTTTTGTGTTTCCCAGACGTCGCTATTGTCCCTCTACAAGATTATAGAAGATTATCCCGTCACTCAAAATTAACACAAAAGCAGCTTTGCGACAACTTTTCTTGGCAATGCAGTGGAAGGCACCGGCACGCGTTCTCTCTCCCATTTTGAGCGCTGAATAAAGCTGTGTACGGGCTCTCCTCCTCTCCCCAGAAATGCCAAGAAAAGTTCCCGATCGCTGGCGTGCTTCGGCCGCACATGAAGCGCACATGAAGGCTCCCTAGCTGGAACAGCTAGGGCATCCTGACGACGTCAGCCTCGCCGCAGCTTCGCTCATCCCGAGGCAAACTACGTCACGATTGCGCCGGATGTGACGTGCTCTCCGCTGGCTGCTGTCTGAGCGCTCTCGGGAGTGGGCCGTTTAAAACGAAAAATACGTGCGATTGTCATTTACGGATATTGTAGATCATATTCAGCCTATCTCTGAACACGACGGGTATATTTTAAATTTTGTAGAAGTATCCCTTTAAGGGTGAGCGGAGCATAGCAGCCTGATCGTCGAACCTCCGAACCACCGCCATCCAGGGGCGGATCCAAGGGGGGGGGGGGGGGGGGGGGGGGCGATGGGGGCGACCTCTCCCCCCCAACTAAAGTCGACCACCCCTCTCGGAGGGCAATTTGACATGAATGGACCCGCCGGTGCACAAGGAAAAATGGGAGAATAGTACCCTTACAAATCCCCCCCCCCCCCCCCCCAAAAAGAAACGGAGTTCTGGATCCGCCCCTGCCGACATCGTCGCCTCTTTATCAAAGAGTCGCTACAAGGATGATCGGCCCACTACACTTCTTCCTTCGTTTACTTGCGCACAAACTCTGGCACGCCGGGAGCCTTTCAAAACGCGCCCCAGCATTCTCTTCGTATTGGTAGGCAACACCATAAATTTAAGAAAATTAGCATATTAAAAATTGCATGCACTGTATTTGGTCGTGACGGGATATCGTGAATTGAGGTTGGCAAGCCGAAACCGAAACGATGGACAAAAGGTACCCAAGATGCTTTGCCCGGCACCACGCTGCTAGAATCGCTTCGATTTTGCAAGAGGTCTTGGCACCGGCCAGGAGCAGAGGTAGAAATCTTGTCTTGCTTTGTTTTCTCGGCTCTCTTCGGAAATATTTGACCTTGCTCAAAGAGCTGCATAGATTCGTGGGGTATAGAGGGTTCACCCCACCCGACAGGAGGCTCTGACCCAACAGATTCGACAAAGTTGTCAGGCAGGTGAGCAGTCCCGATTGTGCGGAGCTCACTTCGTCTCAAATAAGCCGCTCTATTGCAGCTAAAAAAAGAAAACACACACGCACTATAGTTTCTTGCAAATAGGGTAGGGCGGGCCGGGGAGGAGGAACCAGACGGAACGCTGGAGAAGAGAGATGAAAACCTCCTTCTTTCTTTAGCGTTCCCTCTGCTTCCTCCTCCCCGGCCCGTCTTACCCTCGCCCTACCTTCTTGAGTTCCAACGGACTATAGACGCTTTACACACGCGCCAAATTACAGCCGCCATTGCTGACCTTCTCTTATCTTACCGAGATGCCAAGCAACTGAAACGGTAGTGGACGATCCTCTACAAAGGGCGATGCTTTAGAAAAGGACACAGTTGAACCTAATGTGGCAATAACCTGGCCTGCTATGCTAAAGATTAAGTGAAATAAACGAAATAAGAGGAAACAAAAACTGAAGGTCAGTTATGGCGGCGTCCATGCACAGCTGCTGCAAAGCGTCTATAGGACATTGCATAATTGGCCGTATTTCCTTTTTGCAATAGGCCCGCGAACTGCGGAGTGGTTTTACACGGGAGAGACCCAGAGGACCTGCACGTGCTCTGCTGCGTAAAAGCCAGAAATAAAAATGTCAAAAGCTATGCCCCGAGGCCACCCCAGCGTCAATCGTTGTTGGCACCACTTAAATCGCCTAGGTAGAGCTTCAGTGCAATATTTCCATTCCCATCATTGTTTTATTTATATTCGTATATTATACTTTTTTGGCATATTCTGGTTAGATGTTCGTAGAACTTTTCTTCAGAAGTTCGAAGTTCGTCGAACTTTTGAACTTCTTAGGTTGTGAAAGTTCGAAAATCGCCAAGTGTAGCAACGAACTTTGAAGGTCGAAAATAATCGAATTTCTCAGTGCGAAAAATTCGCAAGTTAAGACATCGGCGAATTTTTAATAAGTTCGAAAGTTTGAAAATATTCTAACCCTTTTTTTTTCTGATTTTGAACCTTATTTTCAAACGAAGTCCGTAGCATCTCTAGTTTGAACGGTTCCATCCGTGACCCTTTGTCTCGATAAAAAGACACTAACAAACAAGGTAAATAAGCGCATATAGCGTTGAGGATAATTAAGATCTTATATTAAAGGGGTACGGAAACCAAATTCTGGAGCTCATTTCTTTGTTTCAACACGACGCAGGTAGCAGCACAACCACAGAAACATAAATATTGCGCTAGAAAACGCAAGAAAACATATTTTAAAGTGAATTAAACGATAATCAAAAACCACCTGGTAGTTGGTTATGAAGCTTCAATGGAATGTCGTGACGACAACATGCCTCTGAAAGCAGCGCCGCAGCGGTATGTCCGCTCACTGGTATAGATTGCCTAGGCCTGAACGCAATACCGAGGCGTCTTGGTGGAAAGAGCCAAAACGAAGTAAGCCACCTTGGTTTCAGCTCTCGCGCGACGTGCAAACGCGTGCTTCGGTTGTTCTCAGGTTTGGTGCGCGTGCTGGCCCCGCGATATCTACAGCCCTTGGGTACTTCGACAAAGCGAGATTGTAACGCGTTGACGCCTCCAAGTGGCAAAACTCGTCACTACGGTACGCTTGATCGTCCGAGGCATGATGACGTCAAGACGTCTGCCGGATCTCCCGAGATGCATCGCGCTCCTCCATGGCTGATTTTGAAGCGCTCGCCAAAATCGCGGCATTTAGAGCATAAAATATAGCCATCTGCTCAAAATACGACCGTGCGATTATTCATTACAGGCATAGCTGATCATATTGAACTCATTTCTTGATGTTTTCTCTATATTTCAAGTTTCGATTCCGTATCCCTTTAATAACTTTTAACTAGTGAAGGTAAGAAGATATCTCACATTAGAAACTTGATTGATATCATGGAAAACCAAAGAATCAGTTAAGTTTAGAATAATTTCGAGAGCGCTCCTTGTTTCTCTGGGTCCCAGAAATCCATCCATGCCTGCGCGGATTTTCTGTTTTTTATCATCTGTATTTACGTTTCTTGTTGTAATCTTTGAGCAATACCAGGCTTCCCGATCGCGCCAAACTTTCATGAAACGCACTGCGTAATTTAATGGTTTTCGATGACGTTCAGCAGGCTTTGAAGAACCATGCGTTTTGTTTACTAACGAACACGTTGATTTTGCAAAACTAATTAGGAGCTTCATTATCCAAAACGGAATGCCCCACCCTATTGAAAAATCTCATTTGTATGAGAAATTTCTGTGTCCAATAAATACATATGAATTATACAAGATATATAAGAACATATATTAACCATAAAAGAACCATATAAGAACTATATAAGATATATAAGAAGTAAAAACATATAGGAACCATATAAGAAACTTGCGAGAACTCTTATAAGTACCTTATATGGTTCTTATATATCTTATATGGTTGTTATATGTTCTTATATATCTTGTATGATTCATATGGGTTTATTGGACACAAAACATTTCTCATTCGTATGGCTTTTTCACTAGGGCAGTCGTTTTTCTCCGTGCTGGGTAGTGTTTGCGGGAAACGAACGTGGCCGATGTTAGGTGGAACACCTGCGGTAGTTTCTCCGACATTTTATCTCACGTGTAGTTTTCGCTATGGTTCCTCCCCCTCGAGAAATGACGAGAGTTCTTAAAGAAATACTGAAATGTAAATTGCAATATACCTCTCACGTTCAGAAATAAGTGAAACGTGATTAAGAAAATCTTATAATGGTAATCGCCTTTTTTGTGTGTGTATTTTGAACGGATGGTTATATTTT